ATTTTGAATACGAGTACTTTGACATTCGAGTACGAGTACGAGTACGAGTACTCTTAAAAAAGTACTACAACACTGATGAACACTAGCCACACACTATGCACTGTGCAAAGCGTGAACAGCGCCCTCACGCAGCTACAATTTGCAAATCTGTTGGCAAAGACCGACAGGTGTGCAACTGAGAATATAGAAAACATGACGAGGAAACTCCAAACCAGACAAGACTTAGTACAGTACCGGTACTTTTCAATTTGTAATGGCATTCATGAGAGGTAAAAAAAATATGAGGAAATCAACATATCCAAGGAAAAGTTGCATGCCTGGAATGAGCATTTATTCCTCATTAGCGCACGGCTAGCATTTAAGTTTTTAGTATCCTTACACCCCTAGGAATATGTTTCAGTGGCATTGATCAAGTTACCAGGGTGACCGTAAGGTCAGAGCCAAATTCTGCTAAATGCACATCAAAAATCTGTCAGATTTATCAAAAATCTGCCAAATTCCCCAGAATTATTCGGAATACACTATTAACACTTAAACTCACATGCAGATTGGTAGTATTGCCTTAATATTTATTGGCAAATTTCGGGCAATTTAACGTGGATCCGGCCACGACGAAGTCCGTTTCCCAGTAAACCTCGGCACCTAGACCAGCCAACCTGCCCCATTATGCAAGGGTTTGTTTGAAAGCATTGAAGCTTTTTAAAAACAAATGTACACTTTTTTGTTCAAATTTGCTGTTCAATAACTATTTTTGCAGAAATCTGCCAGAAATCTGCAAAAAAAATCCATTCTGTCAAATTTTCTGTCAAACTCGATTTTTTAAACAAATTTTGTCAAAGTTAGCCGAAAATCGGCTAAAACGGTCACCGTGCAAGTTACATAACCACAAGTGGTCTCCAATCATCTACACTGACACACTTACTTTAATTTGTGCAATAGACATTGTGCAGTTTATTGAGCTGTAGCGCTTGCATTCAACATTAACTCACATTAACTTGGCTGTCATACTTGCTGTATGTCTACAAGTGCTATAGTCATGTTTTTACTCTTATATACAGCAATACTGTTTTCGTTGTAAAATCTCCCAGTCACATAAAATTGTAATGCTACATCGCCTATGGGTCCTTAAAGTTATCCACCATGTATCATATTGTAACTAGCATTTTTTTTCTCTAACGCAATCTTGCAACAAAAAATTCTTTAAAAATAATTTCAAGTTTTGTTGGTTATGTTTTTACCCTTTCCTTTACTGAACCTCGAAGAACATGAGAAGTATGCAGCTAAGGAAAGGGTGACAATATTTGAAAATATCAATTTTAAGAAATTTTTGTTGGAAGGTTAGAGACGAAATCTTCACACTCTCTTGCACGTATACAAAAGTGCAACTTTTTTTCGGTATCATTTGTCATAAATTGCATAAGGCCAAAAAAAATGTCTCCAGTTTCTGGTATGGAGCTTGCCCCAAAAGTAGTGCGACGACGCGGCTTTTTATTTTTGTTACTTTTTTTCCTTCAAATGTCGGCTGATGACTGGAAATGGTGCCAGACTAAATTTAGTGCAAAATATATGAGAGTCCAGAGAGGCCACATAAAGCTTATACTCGATCGTAACTCCATCTAAAAACACGTTAAAGTTGTACAGCAGCAGGATTCCAGTCAAACCAGTGAGTTTCGCGGTTTTGAGACATCATCTTTCATTGAAAAAAAAACTTTTTCATTTTGCCGACGTGCATGGCTACGGCGACGCGCGCGCATACCAGAAACTGGAGATTTTTTTTTTGTGGCCTAATTACACATCACACTGTTTTGGGCCAAATAAAGAGTATGCCTGGATTGCTAAGGAATTTCTGCACTGATTACTCATTATTTGAGTGAGAGGTGCCCAGCAGTTTTTGAGTTAGACAAAAAAGTATTGGGGGGGGGGGACTTTCTTTTTTGGTTGAGTGTATGTGTAATGATGAGTGATGACATTATTCAGGGACCTTATAAGGAAATTTGGGTTTTTTCATTAAGTAATTAACATTGGCCATGGGGGGGGGGGGGGTTTAGCCAACCCAACCACACAAAAACCTTCACTTTTTCACCAACCGGTATACATGTGATGGACAAATTTGATGCAATACATGTATTTGTACAGTAAAATGACTGTTTTTACAATACTGACATGAGAACAAATGGACAATTATACGTACATGTTTATTTTGCTGATTTCATAACCTATATTTCAACACACACTGTATATGGAAGGTTGGTCCCCAAAAAAAATTCTTAAAAAATATTCGTCCATTTTCAAAGAGTCTCACAAATTCAAATTCAGTGCATTAAAAAATAAAATTCCAATCATAAGCACTTAAGGTTAATAAATAATTTCAGATCAGGTGGACAGATTTGCTTGTACATGAGGGACAAATCCTATCATCTGGCTAAAAAAATAGGCGGGAAAAAATGGAAATATTTCGTGTTGGAAAATACATTCTTCATATGCAAGACGTATGAACCAGGATAGCCTTCAATGCTATTTTTTTCACTTTTTTCACCTGAAGTCATTTTCTCGATTGGAAAAGAAAAACAAAAAAAAAGGAAAGGTGTGTGGCGATTACCTACTGGTACAGACAGGAAAAGTGATCACTATCTGGGGAAAAAAGTAAAAAATTCCAGCCGAATTTCTGGAAACTTGCCCATGTGTGGATGTATATTTAGGTGCAGTCGGAATAGCCGACAGGGAATTTCCCCTTATAAAAGAGAGGATGTCGGAGGGTCATGCATCACGTTCACTAACTTCTTGCTAAAGTTTACCCTTCGAGCTAAAAGGTCCATTTATCGAGATGAAAATGTACGAGTAATGGGAAAAGAGGAAACGTGGTATTGCACTTACTTCTTTAAAAACAGTGTTGGCTCTTAGGTAATTCAGAGTTGCAATTTAGTTTGGGCATAATACGCTAACCATAAAAATACATTGTTACTTTTGTTTAAGGTTAAAGCTACTTTGCATGCTACTTTGTTTGCTGAAGTACAAATCCACAATTTTAAGCCATGATCTGAAAGTTTCAAATTCCTATGTCAATTTACTTCTGATTTAGGTTCAGCACAAACTTGACACTTTTACTTTCCACAACCTGCCCTGACCTTAAAGTTAGAGTACAATGTACATCATTTGCAGCTATCCAAAAAGTAACCGGCAAAATTATTGTTGAAAAGCTTACTTGGTTTAAAGATAGTAATGGCTCTAAACTGCCTGTGAAATGATTCTTTGAGGCATGCTGTCATTTTGAAGAAACAATAAAAGAACGTTATTTCCAAAGATGTGTCTAAAGATGCACTTTTGGAAATTTCCGTTAGTAATTTGTTTTTAATTCGGCGACTGGTGGGCGCAAACGATGACATGATGCACATGCATGCGCGGTTGCTACAATTCGTCGGTTCTGTGCGTGACATCGAGTAGCTGCAATCAGCTGAATGAGAACGCGTCCAAGGTGCTGAATTTGGGCGCAATTCAAAACATGACTCGGCAACTAACTTTTAAATTGAAATCGAGAGGTCTTAGAATATTGTTTTCTCGGAATATACAGCATCCACTGAGCTAAAACTTCATCAGGTTAGTTGTTGAGCACACTTCCTGAGATTTTGGGCACTTTTGTTGCTTCAAACGGAAAAAAAATGCACAAATGACAAATGATGAACTCTACCTTTAATCTCCAGGCAAAAGGTTTCATACCAAGTTTGGAATTTCATTTGCCAACATCTCGATTCACAGACATCCAGTAATAATGATCTTGACATTGAACCTAAGTGGCTTGACACACTATTGAAACTTCATTTAGCACTTTTTGAGAGTGTAAATACTTTATGTCATTTGGGTCAAACCACTGACGCCATAATGGCCTTGTGGTCTGGCGCATTGAATTCATGGTCTGCAGTTCATTTTGTGGGTTCGAGTCCAGCCTGGGGTTATGGTGCGTGTGCCCTTGGGCAAGGCACTTTGTCACTCATTGCTTTTCTCCACCCAGGAGAACATAAGTACCTGTGAGGGCAGAGATGGTTATTGTGACTGACTTAAGCTGCTTTGCGCCCAGAATGGTAGCATCGAGCATTTCACTCCCCAGGGAGCTGAAATCGTCTTTGGAATGCGCTTGTTGCCTTCCCCGTGATAAAGTTAAGGGTCTCCATGAAAACTAGTTCGTTGTGAGAAGTGGTTTAAACTTTCATATCTCAAAGGTACAATGATTGTCCGGATGTTCGGGGAATCTTCCGATGAAGGCTCAGAAATACAATCCTCAAGACATTGCCCAACAACGTGATGACGACCACATGTATAATTTTGTACAAGCACATGTCAGAGCTTCAAAATGTCAATACACACTACAGGCTCATACGTGCGCTCACACGTGCGCACAGCCGCTGATCTGCAAAGCGCTGCGCAAATTATATTCCCAGAGTCACGCACCGTGATCACGGCCACTAGAATAATGAGCCAAGATCATATCAGCAGTGCGTGACGATGTACTTGTAATACTATCTCCGAGAATATTCATTAGTTAGTTACAAAATACATTTACGTACATGTACGTCCTTTTCCCCTACTACAAAAAAAAATTAAAATAAAAAAAAATAAAAATGCACCATTAAAGTTTCTCTACCCATGCTCTTCAACATATTCAATTTTTTAAAATCCAAATCTAAATTTGGATGTTTTGTTTAAACGAAAAAGAACTACTTTTATCTGTTTTGGATTTTTTCAACCCTCTGAAACTACGCTTTTATTTTGAGTTGCATTAAACCTATAACACACACAAAAATATGCCTGAATTATTGTCAGGCCGGAAATAAATTGAAATTTGTAAAATAAATATTCTATAACTAAACATGGGCAGAGTATATAACTTTAATAACTATTTTTGGGAAGAGAATTGAAAATAGCATGGGGACAGCAAGTTTGAATCGCATGTACGGTAGAAGGCTTAATATAGTATGAGACACAGGCTTAATCTTTAACAATACATGTGTCAGTCATAATTTTGTTGAAAAATTATGTCAATAGAGGGGGCTGTTCATAATGTACTGCTTTCCACACTTCATGCATGCCAGAAATATTATCAATACATTGAGCAATATTTAGGAAAAATAAAATTTGGAAAATTTCATTATTTGAAAATATTTACTTTTCAGTCGGAAAAATACATTGACAATAGTGTACATTTTTGGAAGGTTAATTGAAAATATTTAAATATGCCATGTACCGGCCGACGGTATACAGCGAGTTCTTACCGGAATTAACTAGCCCTCTGTAATGTCCATGACGGAGCTTTCAAGAGCTGAGCAAATAAACCTGAAAATGTTTTATTCAAATCTTATCCATCCAGGATCATGTAGTAATGGAGATGATTACAGAGTCTGAGTTTTTGATCATTTCTCTGAGTCATTAATTAGATATCATGGTTAATTGACTCTGTCACAACATCACACTTCCTTTCATAAATCTGGAATTGCCCCATTGAATTGAAATTTTAAATATCTTCTTGGTAATTTTTTTGGTTTAAAATGGTGCCACAGCTCTATAGTTCTGAATCAAACAAAATCAAACAAAATGGGCATTTGGGGTTTTTGGCAGATTATTAGAGATCTGGATTAACATTCATATAATTATTCACCCAAGTCAGAAATTTCTAAATTCATCTGAAGCCAAATCTTGCCATGAATCTGAAATTTCTAAATTCATCTAAAGCCAAATCTTGCCATGAATCTGAAATTTCTAAATTCATCTAGAGCCAAATCTTGCCATGAATCTGAAATTTCTAAATTCATCTAGAGCCAAATCTTGCCATGAATCTGAAATTTCTAAATTCATCTAGAGCCAAATCTTGCCATGAATCTGAAATTTCTAAACTCATCTAGAGCCAAATCTTGCCATGAATCTGAAATTTCTAAATTCATCTAAAGCCAAATCTTGCCATGAATCTGAAATTTCTAAATTCATCTAAAGCAAAATCTTGCCATGAATCTGAAATTTCTAAATTCATCTAGAGCCAAATCTTGCCATGAATCTGAAATTTCTAAACTCATCTAGAGCCAAATCTTGCCATGAATCTGAAATTTCTAAATTCATCTAAAGCCAAATCTTGCCATGAATCTGAAATTTCTAAATTCATCTAAAGCAAAATCTTGCCATGAATCTGAAATTTCTAAATTCATCTGAAGCCAATTCTTGCCATGAATCTGAAATTTCTAAATTCATCTGAAGCCAAATCTTGCCATGAATCTGAAATTTCTAAATTCATCTAAAGCCAAATCTTGCCATGAATCTGAAATTTCTAAATTCATCTAAAGCCAATTCTTGCCATGAATCTGACATTTCTAAATTCATCTAAAGCCAAATCTTGCCATGAATCTGAAATTTCTAAATTCGTCTAAAGCCAAATCTTGCCATGAATCTGAAATTTCTAAATTCATCTAAAGCCAAATCTTGCCATGTCTTTACCCAGTTTTTACTTTTCCAACAAACACCAAATACAAGCAGTTGATGCATTTTGACAGAAACAACGCGGGTAGACAATCCACCAAATAGACACACATAGCCATGCACAAGTATTACTGTTTTCAGCCTATGGTATACAGTTACTTAATTACACAATACTACATTCTTAGTTACACATTTATCGTCGAGTGCTTTAAAATCCATTTTACAAACCAATATGCGAATATGTACATCTCAAAAAATATAATGCCGTTAAAAAATTAATACGGGCATAAAAAGCAGCACAGGTACATATTTGTGCAATGGACAATAATGGAACTAAAAAAAGGATACAATTTGCCAAGGCTATACTGTTGATTATCCGCCAACTGCCTGAAAGGTGACTGTTGTCTGTTCTTGACCTCAGGTGAGTTGATGACGTTCACATGGCCTTGCTTTTGACTCTGTCCGGGATACAGTAGATTAGGTTGTGTGTTCTTCGCACGAGAGTCCATGTCTGCATGTGTATGGCTAGGAGTACCCACAGCCACATTCTTATCTGTATGTGCAGAGACCCACTCTGCCTTAGTGTGAGAACACATCTTAGCGTGGGCGCGTATCAGCAATGGCACTCAATCCTTCAATCTCTTTCTTGCATGCCGTCGACGTGTGCGCATTTACAGAGTCACTGTGATGGTTTGGATCATTCGGCCCAGCTCTTCTGTGCAGCAGAGCCATTTACAAGCAAGTAGTGCTGTCCCAGGCTTCAGTTTCCGTCTGTGCCTATTCAGTGACAACTTCCTTGCAAGGTCGGCAAGATCCTGATAAGGCTTTGTCTAACGGTTACTTTGAACGTAAAACGTTTAGCCGCGAAATGAATTACATTCAAGGCGGAGCATTTGTCCTACAAGTGAAGCACCCACTGGATTATGAGCAACAGTCATTCTTGTGTGCACACTGTACAGAAACTCCTAACCCCAACCCTCCAGGGTATGTTTGCTAGAATTCCTGCCAAACGTAGCAACATGCAACACTTGACTCAGTGACAAGCCTGCCAAATGAAGCAAGATCCATCAGGGGAAGAATCTCAAGGCCACACTGCCTCGGAGTCCGTGGTCACCGCATGCAGCAGAATACAACTGTGGCATAGTTTAATGGGACTTAGCTCTCATTGTTTCAGAGCTGGCCATTCATGCACTGGTGTTGGTAGCTGAATGCATCAAATTGCACCAGTTCTTTTCCACCAGATGCACTGTGCTGCGTCTGGCAGGGTTAGGGCTAATTAGGCAACTGAAGCCTCATGCAAGAGTTTCAACACACAAATGTTGGTAGCATAATATTTTTGCGTTCAAGAACAGTGCATCGGTTAAAGCTATGTGCACAATCACGATATTTCAAACTACATAATGATGCAATCTCCACAGTGTTTGATGTCAGACAGAAGTATCTGGCGCCCTCATGCATCCATGCATGGGGGTCTGCACCATAATTGGAGACATCACTGCCAGACAGTGGATTGTTAGCTATGGGCTCCGTGCTCAGTACCCCCTCAACGGTAAGAAAGGGTGAGTTGGGGGAGACCACTAAGAGAGACACTCAAACGCATTGCTGATGACGTCTGATGCTCACGCAAAGACGCTTTGGGTTTGTGCACGTGGTGTGTCCCTTCCACTGGCTTCTCGAAAGCGCCCTCACTTGTTTGCGCACGAAGGCCATCGATAGGCTTCACCACATATCTACAAACTCGCATGCAGAGCTCGGGGCAGCTTCCAAACTGTAGGAATCTGGACTCCTTTGGTGCATTGGATGGTCTCGACTGACAAGACCCATCGAGTTGGTCAGCTATCTGGGCTTCCAGTAGCCCAGGCCTCTGTTCTTGGGCCGGACGTACGCCTTGATGGGCTCCTGGATGCCACCCCCGTCTGCACCGAGCCCCGTGCCGGGGACCCAGCCCATACCCTGAAGCATCTGACAGCCTAGGTTGCTATCTGGAATAGGGATGGCGGCTCTGCCAACTTGACCTAATCATCCAACAGAAACAATACAACAGTCATAATAATAATATGCAAATACAATAACTGTCTAACAACTCCGAACCAGGACTCAGACTCGGAGCTCAGGACTCATCACTGGCGTATTTAATTGGAACAATTGGTTGATTACGATTGAGCAGAACTGGGAAGATTCATAGAAGGAACAGATGGAAATTCGGGCAATTCACAATGCAGTGCGCCACCAAGAGTTTGCCATGGAGAGTGCAATTTTCCCAGTGCATTGTGGGAGATGGTTGACAAATTCGCAGCACGGGACATTTGAAATTGTTCGTTTTTCCGGTCAGTAGTTTCGTAAGCCTATAATTCCAGGATCTGTTCGCCCTTTTCTTTTCGTGTTATCAATGTGGTGTTTTTTTGTACGGTCAGAACACTATGCCCCAATCTATAACGACGTAGCTCAAGTTGTCTACTGACACTCATTCAAATGGGCCATGTTTTGTCGACCGTAAACTTTGAAAATGGACTCTCCATGGCAAACTCTTGGTGGCGCACTGCATTGTGAATCGCCCGAATTGATGTGAGGTAATTCAATTTTTGTTTTTGGAGATTTGAGGAAATTCATAATGGCACGGACCTATTAGATATTGTGTGGAAGTTTCAAACCAAAATTTTGCTCCATGGTATTATTTGGAGCTATCTAATTTCAGAAAAATGGCACTTTGTTTATGATTTTGTTGGGTCACGTCACCAAATCTTTTGAGCTCAATTCTGTTTCAGAGAATTCCATTTCACTAAAAATTTGCAAATTGTAGAACGCAGTTTTGACTTGTTGCCCAGTGGGTTTGTTCTGAAGGCAGGCATACTGAGGTTTGACAATGAGAACCTTGCTCATTGTTCTTAGCTTTCCATCATGGAAAAGCTAAAAATCCACATTGCTAGAGAAGCTTACAAGCATTCAGGTCAGGTTTTTTTCCCTAAGTTCATTCAGGCCTAATTATGGACTCCTTGAAAAAACTACAGATGATGTAGCTTGGCCTCCTCATAAAGTAGAACAGTAGGATCAAAATTAAAAAAAAAACAGGACAAAAGTAGGATTTTGAAGGACAATGTTTCAAGCGCGGGTAGAGCATAAATAATGACACGAGTTTGACACAGATCATAACTTTGTGGAAGCAGCCATGTTTCACAGATTGACAATACACAGCGCCCTCTGTTGGCTAAAGGGTGCATAGTACATATTGTTACATCCTCCCCTTTTTGAGTTTGTGGAAAAATGCATACAATTTGGGTTTTTTTCACAAATTACATGTAAAACATTGATTTCCTTATACATTTAACAGTCTGATGGTTACAATAGTCCATTAACTTTGAGTTCAAAGTTCAAGAGTTCACGTGCTGAGTGGATATTAGCTGTCTTTCAACAATAGTGCCGAGATTTTTTTTTTTCTTTTCAAAAAGCTTTCAAAATGCAGGCTTCCATGTCTGAATCAACAATTTGAACTAGATGGCTTAAAGAGTAATATGATTAGGCAACAACATCTAAAAAACTTTAGAGTAAATGCAACATGAGTAACACTTGAAAACGCAAAAACGAACTTTCACTATTTGTTTTTTTGCTTTTGGTTTCCAAACTTGAATAGAAAATCACTTTTCCTGAAGATGGTTGTTTTTGGTTCCAGAGGGAAAAGGATTGAAAACGGAGTGGAAAGATTGGTGTTTTTGTGTGTGCTTTTTTTTTGTAGTTGTTGGACAAGTGATTAGAATCGAACATAATCTTGGAATTTAACTGGTTCACATCGAGTGCGAGTGGATCTTCGCAGTGTGGGCTGTTCAGTGGGGGTGGTTGTCGGATCGTACGATGTTGGGATTTTGGAGTTAGTAGGTGGTGCGGCTGGGACAGGATTGGGTGGTACTGGAGTCATGTCTGGTTTGATGGAGACTTCCTTCTGGGAGTCAGTGGTTCTGGGACATCCTTCTGGGACGTGCAGTGTGTTTCCAGTACTAGGCTTATGTTGTTTTGGGGGTGGTTCCTTTGACTTCCTCAGGTGTTCTCGGTTTCGTCTGTAAACCTGGTCATCTTGAAGCACCTCATAGGATCTCTCATCAAGTTTGCGCAGAACGAGTGCCTTCTTCCAACGGTCTTCTCCTTGCCGGAACGGTTTCATGCGCACAGTGTCACCTTGTATCAGTGAGGGCAGGTCTTTTGTGGATTGGTTGTAGTATTTCGCTTGTCTCCTCTGGTTCAGCTCCAACTGTTTCATCTCGCGTTTGCCCTCGGAACCTCTGGCTTGGAGTAGGCGTCGTGATGTTGGTATCAGTGTCTTTGTTCTCCGCCCAAGGAATCGTTGAGCAGGGCTGGAGTCAACGCCTTGAGTTGGTGTGTTCCTGATGTTCAACAGGGCAAGGTCTTCATCTTCACCTGTGGCAAGGCATTTCTTCAGCATCTTTTTTGCAGACTTGACTGCAGACTCAGCCTTTCCATTTGCCTTGCTGTTGTATGGGGAGATGGTGTTGTGTTTGATTCCCCACTTTCGTGTGAAATCACCAAAGTCCTTTGAAGAGAATGGTGGACCATTATCGCTGACTATGATGTCTGGTATGCCGTATCTGCCAAAATGATGTTTGAGCTTGCCAATGACTGATCTGGCAGTTGTGCTGTGCAGACGATCCACCTCCCAGAAGTTTGACTTGTAGCACACAGTGATGAGGTAATCTTTCCCATCATGGTGGAAAAGATCAATCCCAAGTTTTTCCCAGGGTCGTTCGGGTATGTCATGGGACATCAGTGGAAGTGGAGCTTGGGACACCTCGTATTCTCTGCATGTCTCACAGCACTCGATCCACTGACGGATTTCATCTGTCATACCAGGCCAGAAGACGTATTCTCTTGCTCTTCGCAAAGTGCCTTCCACACCGATATGGCCCAGATGCAGATCTTGCTTGATGACCTGTCTCATGGCTTTCGGGATCACAAGTCGCTCACCCCGAAACACTAGGCCATCATGGACGCAGAGCTCATCACGGACGGAGAAATATGGAGTAATCTGCGCAGGAAGCAGATTCTTATGTTCTGGCCATCCCTCCTGAATGGATTTCTTCAAGAGTTGAAGAACATCATCACTCGCAGTCATCTGTTTGATGTCATATATCCGCTCCTCAGGTAGGGTCAGGTACTGGAGTGCATTCACCGTTTCGAACTCCTTTTGGCTAGACTCATAGGGTAGGAACGATCTACTGAGGGGATCAGCTATTAGATTCTTCTTTCCCTGAAGATAGTTTACATCAGCGTTATAGGCCAATGCTCGCAAGAGCATTCCCTGTAGGCGACGGGGTGCCTTGTCAAGGGGTTTCTTCACGATGCTCTCCAGTGGCTTGTGGTCAGAGTAGACAGTCACATGTCGTCCAAATGTGTATTGGTGCCACTTCTCAAGTGCAAACACCACAGCTAGCATCTCCTTCTCAATGACTGCGTACCTGGTTTCGGTATCGCTCAGGGCTCGGCTGGCATAAGCAAGGGGTTTTCCATTTTGAAGAAGAGCAGCCCCAATTCCTCTATCACTAGCATCAGTGTGAATAACGAGCTCCTTCTCAGGGTTGAAGTAGGTCAGGACTGGAGCTTCGGTCAGCAACTGTTTCAGCTTACCAAATGCTTTGTCATGGCAGGCATTCCATGACCACTCGACACCTTTGCGGGTTAGTGCATTTATAGGCTCCATCACCTGTGACAGACTAGGGAGAAATTTGGACAGGTAATTCACCATACCTCTAAGCCTGTCAACGTCATCTTTGCTCGTCGGGGGCTTCATGTTGATTATAGCCTCTATCTTAGAAGGATCAGCTTTTAGGCCATCGTGAGAGATTATATGGCCCAGGAAGTGCACTTCGTGCACAGTGAAGCGAGACTTCTCTCTGTTGAGGATGATTCCCACCTCTTTGCATCGTTGCAGCAATTTTCGAACACGACGATTGTGCTCTTCGACATCTCTGCCCCATATGATGATGTCGTCTGCTACGCAGCGGACGCCTTCAAGACCATCAAGGGCTTGATGCAGTCTCTTCTGAAAGATCTCGCTGCTCACCTTCAGGCCAAATGGTAACCGTTTCCAACGGTATCTGCCCCAAGGAGTGGCGAAAGTAGTCAGCTTACTGGACTCTTCGTCAAGCTCGCAGTGCAGGTAGCCATCTTTCAGATCACAGATGGAGAAATGAGTAGCCTCATTTAGCTCTGGCAGGATGTCGTTCAGTACTGGGAGAGTGTAGTGCTCCCTCATGAGGTATTTATTCAGGGGACCAGGATCAATGCAGATTCTGACAGAGCCGGATTTCTTCTTGGCTACAGACATTTGGCTGACCCAGTTAGTTGGCTCATCCACTTCTGCTAACACATCTCGGTCTGTCAATTTCTCGAGCTCGGCCTTGACAGCAGGCTTGAGTGCTTCTGGAACTGTACGTGCAGGGCGTATGACAGGTTCGGCATCCGAGCTGACCGTAAGGTGCACTCTTTGGCCAGGCAGAATGCCAGTGACGGACGCATTGAAAACATCAGGGTACTCACTGACGAAATCAGCATGAGTTGGGGTAACACCATGGACTTGTGAGAACTTGTCGTAGTTGATGGTAATGAGACCCATCTGTTCGGCGGCCTTACGACCTATGAGAGGTGTGAGGTCCTTGTCCACGATCACGAAGTTGACTTTGTACTTCTTCAGCGTCACTGGATTGCGAAGTTTTATGGTGCTTCTGCCGACAGCAGTCATACAGGAGTTGTTCCACATCTTGAGCTCAATTCGCGCTGGAGAGATCTCCATGGCATATTTCTTGGGAATCAGATTGATAGTTGCGCCACAGTCAACCTGAAACTTCACAGGTTCACCCTTGATCTCCATGGTGCAGTATACTGGCTTGCTGTCGTCTGTTACTGAGTTAATGTCAGTGGTGACACAGCTCACGCTCTCTCCTGAAGACGAAGTGTAGCCGTCTTCATCTACTGCATGGACACGGTGATTTTTGCAAACTCTGGATTTCTTGAAGTGATTCTTTACACCGCATGAATCACAGGTGCGGCCCCAGGCTGGACAGAGTTCCTTTTTCATGGGATGGTTCCCACTGCAGAACTTGCATCGCTTAGAGATAGGCTTCCCGCCTTCGTTCACTGGGGCTTTACGAGGAGGACGCTGCTTCGGCTGTCGTGGCTTTTTGTCAGTTTTCTTTGGCCTCACTTTGTGCACAGTTTCCTCCTTCTTCATCGCCTTCATCTGCACGGTTGCAACCTCAACAGCTTTGCAGATCTCAATGGCCTTTGTCAGTGTGAGGTCGTGAGTTGCCATCATTTTCTCTCTCATTTTGTCGTCTAGTACTCCCATTAGGAGGCGGTCCATTAGGAGTTTGTCCTTCATGCAGGCACAGAGTCCACATGTTTTGCTCATGGTGCGGAGTATAGAGATGTATTGCTCAATAGGCTCACCTTCGTCTTGGTTGCGACGGTTGAATTTGAAGCGCTCAAAAAATTCTTGACGTTGGCCGAGAAAATGAGAGTCAAATTTCTCGAGAATCTTTGAGCAGATCTGATTGTCCGCAGGATTATCAAATTTCATCCCATTGTATATGCGTACACCCTCCGTGCCAATACTGTGGAGCAGCAGAGCAGTTTGGTAAGCCTCAGGTTGGCTTGCAAGGTTTGTGAGGACACAGTAGTTGTCCCACATTTGACGCCACATCTTCCACTCTTCGGCTGCATCCTTAGCACTTGCATTAAAATGAGCTGGTGGATTGATGTGTGGCTTTTTATATTGCTCCGAAACATTAGAGCTTGAAGCAGTTTGGGTGGCTCCAGGAGTAGTTGGCATTTTGACAGTAGATTGTCAGTTATTCAGTTAATGGTGTAGGCAAAAGTACATGTATTCTATGAGCAAAAACACAGTGCAGAATCACACTTTGGAACGGTGGACAGTTTATCCAAGTTGAAATGAGAGAGAGATGACAAATCTTCCAGCAGTAGTCACACGGGAATGTCACTGTTCAACATGTTCATGTGTACAGTACAGTACATGCAGTACAATGCCGCAGTATGCAGTGAAAATGAGACTCACGCAGTTCGGCATAAAACAGTCAGAAATCTTGTCATTTGTGCCAATAATGTTGTCAACAGCAAACAAACATTAATTGCAGAAACTTCTATAAATGTTCATGAAGCTTACCACCGCTGCCAGCATGTTTCAAGCGCGGGTAGAGCATAAATAATGACACGAGTTTGACACAGATCATAACTTTGTGGAAGCAGCCATGTTTCACAGATTGACAATACACAGCGCCCTCTGTTGGCTAAAGGGTGCATAGTACATATTGTTACAGACAACATCAGGATAAAAGTAGGACTTTTGCGGGCTTTTAGGAGTAGTTTTCGTTGACAACCACCATGTCCACAGCATCATAAGCGTCATTTGGCATGTTCCGTACTCAAAACACTTGTGCTCCATCCTTAGTTAAGCTCTTGGAAGTACAGTTGCAGTACTCCTGCGCCCAAGCCCTTCATTGTGTGTTTAACATATGACATTGTGTAACATTGCTATTCAAAATATTCGATGAGATTTCATTTTTCGGAGTTGTGGGACAAAAAAGTAGGAGCAAGTTGGAATTCCTAGGAAAAAAGTAGGAAAAGTAGGAGCAAGGTAAAAAAAAGTAGGAAAAAGTAAAAAAGCCTGACACTGTGTGAAAACACATTTTGGTATTCATACATAGTTTGGAATATGCACAAGTAATTTTTGAGGAATTGTACACGAAAATCAGTTTCGGTGCTTTGGAAAATTGTCCCATGCATCTGCGTACATAGGATGTAAGGCTCCATTAAAACCAGTTTTGCTTTGCCTTTTTCCCAAGCATGAGGCTCATACTGAATGAACAGGTCACACTCCGTCAACTGCATTTACCTTCCACGATGGTTGGGGGTGGAGTTTTTCGTCTCCTCTTCGCATCAACAAACTGAGGGCAGAGGGACTTCCTCGTTGGGTTGACTCCGTCTGAGGACAGAGACACCAAACCTAGGGCCTCCTCTATGTTGGGGTCTGCCATGGTAGAATTTCTGGTGGGAAGACAACATACAGCCATGGTTTCAGTAATTTTGAGTGAACAAAATTAAAAATTAAAATTAAATATAAAAATTTAACAAAAAACGGATGAACATTTCGCAGATAATGACTGCTAAATTAAAGTGTGTTGCCAAAAGATGGCATGCACAGATTTCACTTGATATCCCACAGTTCCCCGTGCACGGAACATTACGCAAAAGACACAATTTTCAATTTCCCCTTATTTGTACGAAAATCCAGTCTCTCAATTTTTTTTTTCAAAACCTGGTTGTACCATGCCAGTATGAATTCTCAACAACAAGTTCAGGGCTAAATTTCATGGTCCTGCTTGAAATTTAGGCCCATCATTTTTCTGTGCTAACATATGCTAACAAAGAATTGTTTGTACCGATGCTACAAGCGCAGAACTGTAGGCACAGACATTTTCTGCTGTAATTAGCAGGGGAGTTATCACTTTATTGGCTGTTCTCAATCTTCAAAGGCCAAATTTGATCAGCCTTGGTTAGGCCCCCCCAAAAAATAAGTCGGTCTCTGGTCAGCGTGCGTCGATTTTAATCATGCGCGTTAATCTTTTTTTTTCTCCAAAATGTTCCGCGGTAGCTCCAACAGCGCCCTCTATTGCCGCACCTCCTCAATTTTTTTTTAACAAAGAGCACCAAGGAATGGGAAATTGCACCAAGGCAAATGATCGAAAGCACTAAGGCAAATTATGGAGGACACCAATGTACATGAGGACACCAAAAAAGCAAAATAGTACCCCACCTTGTCTGTACAATCCAAGCTTGAAGAAAAAAAAAAAAAAAAAAAAAAAAAAAAAAGCCGCGTCCCCGCGTCAATTTCGGAACTTTGGTCTGACCAGAGATCGAATATTTTTTTTTTTGGCCTTATCTGTAGGTTAAAAAAATTGGCATAAAAGTTCAAGTTTTTCAGTCAGTGTGGGGGAGCACCGCGCTACGGGAATGCCTGATGAGACCACTGGCTAAGGAGAACAATAAATAAGTTATTATCCTACCTGGTTTTAATGAGGATCGGTGATCTCTTACACTGGGCACCTTCTGTTCTCATGTCCAGGGAGTACAGTGACGCAAGCTCTCCGAGTTGCGTCCGTTCCTTTTTCTTCATCGGTTGAAAGAGCAATCTGCAGAGGACATTTGGAGAGAAAAACATAAACGCGATAACTAAGCAAGACATGAAAATAGGGTAAAGTTTAGGGTTGCACCATTTAAAAAAAAATACCTTTTGTGAGCTTGGGAGGTTCTGAAAAAGAACTAGGGAGACTCTCGGTTGTACCAACTCTCGTCGAAACCTCACAAACCTACAACAGAGGTCGTTACGCGGTGCAACCCTGAACTTTATCTTGTTGCCATCTTCATAATGCAAATTTTCCAATCATAAAACATGGAAATCCAAAGTAAGACAAAGCTTAAAATTACTTACACTTATTTGGAACTATAGCAGAATCCACGAACGCAAAAGGCCTCGATTTGGTTAATATAGGACTATTTGCATACCCTACCAAATTTTGATCAAAAATCCTACTTGGATTTAAGGTCAAACTGGTACTGAACATCCCATATAATAATTCTGTCTGGCTTGCTGTCATGTCATGCATGTAGAAGAAATCAAGATATGTAGGTGATTTCCAACGATCTGTCAATTGACTCATTTTTGGAAATAAACAGTGCTATTGACAAAATCGTGTTAACTTGTTTCATGATCAAAACTTTGTGCACAGTTTTTCACTGCCATCTCAAAAAGTGTGATATCCAGTGATGTAAAACTTCAACAAGTTAGGTTTTGAACATTCTTCTTTGGATTTTGAGTGGTGTTATTATTGAAAACGAACAAAGTGCATGAAAAGCAAATGATCCTATATGCCATTAAAATGTCTTGTTCGGTTTATTACTTACTCTTTTTCATGAGGGTTTCTGAGGAAGCCCACTATCTTCTCGTTAACAGTTGACAAGGAGGTTCTCTTCAGCCTCTGTAAGGAGAAATAAGATTTGCACAAAACTTTTAAGAGGGATCCATCTGAGAAAAGTAGCTCAGATTCAAATGCAGACCTAATGTTACAAAGCACGTTTCCAAGTAGCAAGACAGATGGGTAATAAGACAAACTTGTGGTCGATGTTGACAACAGTGGAAAAGCTACCTGCTGCAATACTAAAAAAAAACTTGCATAAACTGAACCCCTCCCCCCCAAAAAAATGGGAATCATTTTTCATATTCTTCACTTCTAAAGTCTACTAACAAAGACTCGATTTGTGGGCCAAGCCACTCACCTTTTGCAGGTTAAAGTTGCTCTTCAACATTTTTGATATGTTTTTTTCTCCAAATGAATTTTTCGACTTTTATGTTTGAATTTAACATAAGAAGCTACTTATCATTTTGATTTTGACGTTTTCAATCCTCTGAAAATGTACTTGAAAATACTCTATTTTCGTCTGATGTCCCATTCAAAGTGAGTTGATTTTGTATTACACAAAAATTAGTGATTTGCATTGCCTCATAGTGCCCCTCTTCATCAATATCGGTTTTTAATAGGTTTTAAAAATCAAAATTTAGGCTTTAAGAGTTTTCCCGATGCCAAAATATAAGCATTTAAAGGTTTTTAGGATCCAAACCGTGCAAAGCTTTCGGAATAAGGTAGTAGAAATATAGCGAATTGCTTACTTCAAGTTCTCCACACTAGATGAAGTTACCATTTTCATGCAAACTGCCAAATTAAATTCTGAAAAACTTGTTTAAAAAATCTCAGAGGTAGGTCTATACTGACAACGTGGTTATATTGGAATTACATGTATGATAACCAAACTGTGGGTCAAATTAATTCTTACAATTTTCCTATTTTTTAATTTTTTTATTTTAATTTTTTTTTAATGTATGGCAGAATAAAATATAGGTTTGTATAGGTTATATTATTGATGTACCCTAACGTGGCGCGGCCCCCAACGTGGCGCACTTTGATTTTTCGCCTGTAGCGCCTTCCTAGTGCAAAAGTTTAAACTGAAATTTCACAGAAAGTGAAATTTCATCAAGTTCTAAACACTCCTGTTCATAAATCGCGAGTTTATTTGCCCGTAACAAAGTTAGAAGAAACATTTATTTTGGCGTGATTTTCCGATTTTATTTTCAAGTGCAAAGTGAACCCTTTGAAAATGCCCCCAAAAATAAGAAAATAATTTTCTGACAAACATCTGGCGGGGTTTGTAAGTAGAAATAATAATTATTTATCAGAATTAATCAAGTTTACAGAAATTCTTAAATGTTAATTTGGAATTTTCCGAGATTTATTCAAGTGCACCACGTTAGGGAACACTCCGCCAATTTGTGCCCAATTTCCGGACGCCACCGTTTTTGAATTTCGGATTAAATTTTATGAAACCGAAATTGTTCACAGAGGTTATAAAGCAAGTATTAATAAGGTAAAAGTACCAGTATTTTACTGCATGAATTTGAGGTTTGTCAACAAAGAGGTTTGGCAACACTACACGAGGAAAGTCGGGTCAGCTTCGAAGTGCGCCACGTTAGGGAACACGACTGTATATAGGCTCCCAAGTTGTAATACAGGTTTTTATAGGTTTTAAAGATTTCTCTGTGAGGCCTGCAATTGAAAAACAAAATCTATGTTTCACAGTGTAACTCAAAAATAGCATGGGGAGAGAACTTTAAGCCATGTGTACGCATTTGTCTGGCAACTGCAGGGCTGCCTCATGGGGCACTACAGAAATAAAACATGTGGCTTCTACGTTTGAACACTGGGGCATATTTATACACTAATTGCAAGCGTTTTTGTTCGATGTCTAGTCCAGTCACGTTGATTTACAAACACCAAAGCCCTGTCCTTTATGACTATTATTTTCGAAGTTGTTCTTACCTTGGTTTTGTGGATTCTTGGTCTGCAACCCCTGAGCTGGCCATCGTCCCCATTCTGAAGACTCCTTAGCCGTGACTGATAATCTACCGGTGAAAATCAAATCAAAAGGTGTGAGAAATAATAAAGAATGCTGAATAATATTCCAATGTTATCCCCGAATGAACCATTTCTTCCTATGCGAGATACGGTGCCACTGTGAATGAGTAGAATATTTTGGCTAGGAACCATCCTCAATCCTGCAAAATCCTCCAATTGCCACCATGTGAAAATTGGATTCAGCCTCAATCCTCCAAAATCAGTTCTTGCATTTGTTCAGTGGAGGGATGACCACTACCTCAATCCTTCAAGATCCTCCAACAATACAATGAGGAATCACCAACGATATCCAGAAGCAGTACGGATGATATATATCTAGTATAATCTAGGCATAATTTATGCATGGCTAACCATAAACAATGCAAGGTATAGCTTTAAAAGACACAATACATCCTCCAAAATCCACTGGTACAAAACTGGAATACGGCCTCAATCCTCCAAAAAATCCTCCTAAACCGCCTGGTTGATTTTGGAGGATTGAGGGTTAGGGTTAATGTTATACAAATATTGAGTGGCTCAGCGTGGAATGGGAGGAATGTTATCGCAAGGTAAAATCTGGACTTTTCCATTTCACGAGGCGAAGCCGAGAAACTGGAAAAGTCCAGATTTTACCAAGCGATAATATTCCTCCCATTTCACAATTTAAAGCCACTCAATATTTGTTTTATATAACTGACATATAGATCCTTGTCATTTGATATATTTGAACTTTTTTCAATACAAAACTGGAGGAAAATGTATTTCTCTCTTCCAAACCACCCTTTCACGAAAATGTTTGAACCCAACGCTGTAGCGCCTGCTCTTTGGAACAATACGCGCCACGCGCAACGCTGAACGCGCACACCAGCATGCATTTGCACATAAATACCGGGTCATGATCGTAACTGTTCAATACTATTTCCCATTCCCCATGGGCGGATAGTACTTTTTGAGCCGCGGCATGAATGGGATCAATAACGAATGCCACGTGATGTGAGTTCCACCAATCAAATGACAAGGATCTGTATGTCGGTTATATAAATTAGTCTATTCCACACGTGCATGACATGTGTGCACGTAATGTACATGTATTGACCATGAGAGTAAGCTACCCAAAACATGATTTCTTTAACAGGATTTATTTGGACGGGGGTGGTTGGTGCGAGCTAACTTACTTCTCTGAGAGGTTCTGGACAGCAGAGGGAACGTTCCGTTCAAGATGCTGCTGAACCTGTCATCCTCCTTGGTACGCGATGAGGACTTTTTCTCCCACCAGGGAATGATGCCTGGGATGCTGCCAAAGGCCTCAGGCTCCTGGAAGAAGTCGCTCTGTTCGTCATCACCTAAAAGGAATGGAATGCAAGGGGCATTGTGGATTTGGTTATTCAATTAACCTCCAGCAGCCGATTTCACACAACAGTGCGTAACTCATGCCATGCGTAGGACTTGCGCAACATATTTGTTGCGCAGCTGCTCAATAAACGTACAGTTCGATTTTAGGAAACTTGGCATAGCTGTGCAACTTTTTAACCTTAACCATCCCAAGTCCTCCAAAATCCTTTTTGCAAATTGGAGGAATTTGCAGGATTGAGGTTACATGGCAAAAGTGCGTTGCTGATTTCGGAGGACACACTGTGTCAAGGTCCTGGGCCGGACCTTGTGTTGTTTGTGCTCAGCCGTGCATAAATTGAGTCCTTGATTATACTTGAAATCCTCCTCAACCTATTGACAGTCATAGCCGGAAGATTTTGCAGGATTCAGGCAGTGGTCACCTCTCCACAAACTATATTCAAGACATAATGGAGGACTTTGCAGGATTGAGGCTATAATTTTTCCATGAGGCCAATTGGAGGATTTTACAGGAGATGAATGGCAAATAACAAGTTACCAAGGTAACACGGACAGAAAAAATACTCACACTTACCCTCACGACCCTCATCGTTGGTGTATAACGCACCCTCGTCATCGCTGCTGGTTACACTGTCATCGGAGTCACAGCTGCTGAAAATAAGAACAGTATAAAAATTCTCTTCACAATTCCGTCTGAGTTACACGTATTATCTCTGGGTATTCTAATGCAAAGGTGTGAATTTCAAAAGTTGAAATATTTTGGTCATGTAAAAAAACAAGCCCAAAAAACCCCACGCACCACCGGGTTAAGACTCTACATTTCAATGCACAAATAAAGATTAAATCTAGAGACTAATTAGGCGACAGCCATTTTCTGTGGTGGCACCAGGCTTGCGGGAGTCTCGCTCAGGTAATTATGCACGCACTTCATGATGCTTCGATCAACAGGGTTGCAAACCAAAACGCATGCGCATCTTGTCTTTAAGATCGCGTGCGGCATGCACGTGGGCGTGCACCACCACAAAACTGGCTTCTAATTTTGTTCGGCGAATTGCACTACAGAAAAATAATTACTTTTGCTCCATTTTTTTTCAGTTGCATCCCACACAGTTTCATCTCATTTTGCAAGAACATGTCACAGATCAACACAGTTGAAGTTCTTTTTCAGTATAGTGCATCCGAGGGCAAAAAAAGGGCTTTAACAGATCAACAAGAAACAGACTTGTTTCTCTTTGACGACACTCTTCCAAAGAAGTGTGTAACCTAATGGTACAAAGGATGAGCTGAAATAACGCCTGCCAACAAAACATAGTACATGTGCACACCTATCTTTGGACGTTGTCGCATCCATTGTAACGTCGCTCTCATTGCTCGTGCATTCCATTTCTCGTCCGATGGTCTTCTCGCTGGCCCCATCACTCCCCGATAGTTTCCGTCCCGTCCAGGATGAGGTGTCCGGGAGAGATACGGGGCTTTCGGAGGACACCCTCCTGTGTGCTACACTGCTGTCTGAGTTGGTGGCAAGATCAATTTGGCTTGGGCTCTGTGGGCCAGAATCAGACTTCCATTGTCTCCCCGGCTGACTTTTATGACAACCAGCGCCTGCTCGTTTTTTAAGTTTGACTCCGAGGATATCAAACCCGAATTTCCCCCCATCGATGTGGGGAGCATTCTCTGAGTTGTCTGATGGGTAGTTGTTCTTGGACCTCTTGAGCTTGTGCTTCTTGCGGCCAGTCTCTGGCAGGAAATCGGCGCCGCAGGAAAACTTGATTTTGGACGGCGGGCAGCCGCCGCCGGACGCAATCATGGGGTCCACAACCATCCTCTTGAAGCGTTTCTTCCGACGGAGGGTCTGTTTGGGCAGAACGTGGCTCTCCGTGACCGAGTCGGACTCTCCGTAGAGGTTACTGGAGGATGTCACGTTGAGAGAGGAGAGCCTTCGCATCATGAGTGTGTCTTCCGAGGCCGAATCGGTCTGGCAGGCCACGTTCTCCATGTAATCCTTCTGGGCCTCATCAAGGCTGGTGTCGGACCCCTCGCTGAGCTTCACTGTGTGCTCCCATACCGGGTTGCAGTCCATCCGGCGCTTTCGGCCCCTGCGTTTGCGGGCCTGGCGCTTGAAAAACTTTGGGCTACTCATGGCAGACGTCGGAGGGTCTTTTTGTACTTCAGCAAAAGTGGATGGATATTGTAGTGTACCAGCTAGAGTTTCTGCCATACCAAGTTAAAACAAGTCACTGGAAACAAAAAAAATATAAGTAGTTATTAGGTAACGCATTAAGTGTAATTTAGAAACTGCATTTGAATATAAGTTATTGTGAAGTGAACGGCCCCATTCCTATATGAGGACAAAAATCCAAATTATTAAACTTTGTGATGAACACCAACGTTATGGGAAAAAGGTAATTTTTTTTCAAAAGTAAATTTGGGGGTAAAATGACAATGAAAAAACAAAAAGACTGAATGCACAAAACAGCTTTTATTCACATGCCATCAACTAAGAATTTGGGTAAGAAAATTGCATTTTCTAGCGACAGTGATTTTGGACCTTAGAAGAGAGAGAGAGAGAGAGTGTTTTCACATGACTTCTGCAACCTTAAGCAGTCTTCTGTTTATTCTAAGGGCCCTACATATTTGTAATTTTGTAGAATAAGCCTTACTTTTTGATAGAAAATGTGATTTTCTTTATACATTTCAATAAACAAAATCAATAACATTTAAATCATTCTCATATGAGCTTGCGTTTCAGAGATCAAAGTGTTTAAGTTCATAGGAATCCTTCTAAAATAAACAATACTCTGATTTCTGAATCAGCTTTTTATCGCTCATTACAAACAAGTTATGAATTTTTTTTTCTTAACAACGCACGATTGTCCGACGTGTCTGAGCCATGTTTAGGCACACACCGCGATGCCACCACACAGCCTGCCGTAACACACGGGTAAAAAACTTTCTGTTGACGCTACACACAATGTGGCAACTCGGAACATGCACGCGTACGCTTAATCGCCGTTGCCAGTGCCAGACTAAAATAGGCATGCAGATACAAATTCCCGTGTCGCCTTTTCTCGCCATCGTTAAGCAGCCATTTTTTATGTCATTCTTAACTAAAAAAATCCATATTTTGCATTTATAATGGTTTGATCGTGTATCAAACTCCTTTATTGTTAAAATCCATCATTTTCCTGACAACTTGAGAAGAACATTTACCTGTTTTTTTGGTGCAAGTTCAACGGAATCTATCAACTGTGTAGCCCCACCCTACTCCTAGAACTATGAGGCTCCACGTAGTGGAGCCTCATAGAGTCAGAAGCCCGCAAAATTGTTGTCAACACAAAACACTAATTAAGTACAAAAACGTCCATTCCAAATAAGCTATTTCCCACAGAACCGCTGCACAGTTTGCCCCTAAACTCCGTACAATACCTCATGACATACTCACGTTATGTGCACCCAACAAACATCGGTGGATTCTGTCTGTTTTTAGGCCAAAATGATGAAAAATATGCCCTTTCCGCACCGAGCCAAACTAACACTTGAAGCGAGCACGCGCGCTGATATCGCAGTCATTTTCGGGTTCGATCGCTCGGAGCGCGCCGCGGGGGGTACGTACTTGCACTTGTACGCATGCGCATACTATCAATCCGCTCCTACACCATACCCCCCGCGGCGCGCTCCGAGCGATCGAACCCGAAAATGACTGCCATATATCAGCGCGCGTGCTCGCTTCAAGTGTTAGGTTGGCTCAGTGCGGAAAGGGCATATTTTTCATCATTTTGGCCTAAAAACAGACAGAATCCACCGATGTTTGTTGGGTGCACATAACGTGAGTATGTCATGAGGTATTGTACGGAGTTTAGGGGCAAACTGTGCAGCGGTTCTGTGGGAAATAGCTTACTTGGAATGGACGTTTTTGTACTTAATTAGTGTTTTGTGTTGACAACAATTTTGCGGGCTTCTGACTCTATGAGGCTCCACTACGTGGAGCCTCATAGTTCTAGGAGTAGCCCCACCCATATGCACCAAATAAGGTATCAATGCATATTCTGCACGATAGGGTCTTTTAAAGGTCATAAATAAGTCAAAGGAGAAAGGCCATATAACTTAGGCACTTTTATGACGTCCTTTCAGTAGGTCATTAAGTAAGATGGCCGCTCCCTGTGACAGCTCACAAAAACATTATCCGAAGACTTCGGTGAAGTATGTCGAATTCGAAAGTAAATTACACATTGTTAAACTTAGCATCTGGTACCATAAATATTACTTTTAGCCATCATTAAAAAAAAAATCCTCCAATCCTCAGAAATCATTTTAACATTGTTTAAAGTCGAATTTAAGCAACAGGAACTATTTTTAAATGACGCAAAATTGTCAGCCATATTTCACGCACTTTACATTTGTTGTGTTTACGTTTTTACGCTGAACTCACTAGTTTGAGAGCAATAACCTAAAAGTGGAGTCATTCTCTACAGGAATGCGGCCCATAATTACGTAATATGAAGTCAATCCCCCTCCCCACGAGCCCTTCCCCCCTAATGAACCCTCCCCCCCCCCCCCACGAATTCATTCTCCCCCCCCCCCCACCCCCGCCCTGCGCCGCCCCGACCTTGTTTGCGTTTTTCACCGTAAAGCGTCTACAGCTAGGGCCAGCTTATATCATCATTATTTGGTTCAAACTTTCATAATCAACAACAACACATTGAAAAGAAAATCTCACCAGTTTAGCTGGCATGATCTTGGATCGTTAAAGGTCTAAAGTTGCATGCAAAAACTGAAGAGAAAATACAGTCTCGACGTCCCTGAGCTGCGCTGAGTCGAGTCTGCACATGTCATGTCATTTGCACTGGTAATCATTGAAAAAAAATATTCAAATCGAATAGAAGTAGCATGGTACCAGTGAAGATTTGCATTTTCGCAATATAGTTCGCGCCCACATGATTAATGAAAATTGTTCAATTTCCCACAAATTATTGAGAAAAAAATCAGCCAGGCAACAAATAAAACTTTAATTAAGAATAATAAAATACCAACAACCGAAAATAATTTCTTCTTTTGCCCGAACTTGGCGCATCAATGAAAACGCCAACTACAAGATATAAAATAACTTTTCATCAAAACATTGTGATTTTTGGAATCGATCGCAACAACACAAAAAGATACGAGGTTGAAGTAGCCGACCATCCGTCGCTATAGCAACTGTGTTGGAGGATGTACACGACCGCGGAAAATGGCGACCGTCATAAGATTACTGCGGCGGACTCCCAATATAATGGAGCAAGTTTTTGAGAGAAACAGGTATCTTCAGTAATTCTTTTTGTTATTTTTTTATGATGAGATAATTAATAAGTAAATTAACATGAATCTGTCGTTGTAAAAAGTAAGATAAGGCGCTGGTTTCTTGAAAAACAGTCGGAACGGCAACGTGTTTACTTTGCCTAATTTCCAGTTTGCCCACTTCGCCTCACTGCCCTGGCATTTGCCACTGCACAATTCGTCTCATTTGGAAGAATCTTCGACCCAGGTTTAGAAGTAGGGCCTACATTTACGCCCTTCATTAATTATGTTGTGGATAACCTTGGGATAGGCCTAGTTTAACTAGTTACTCATGAAGCTCTGTGTTTTGTTACTTTGACTTTGGAACTTTGCTTTTTTGCACGCCTTTGTAAATTGTATTTATTTAGCCTAGGCCTAGGCTAGCTGGAGTTACCCAGCCCTGAGTTTTATCATTGGGTTGTCATTTAGGGCTGGAGCTAGTTTTTCACGTAACCGAGCAGCGTAGGCAGGTCCCAAAAAAAATTGCGAAAGTAAAAAACGATCCACGATGAAGATTCAGCCTACAATTGCAGTGAAAAAAGGAGGAATAACCGCTAACCTGACAACCTTGCTGGCATGGCCAGGACCGCAATTGGTTTGTGCACAAAAAAAATTGTGTACAATGAATGGCGGTCGGTTACCAGGCTGTCAACTAGTCGTTTTTGCCGGCTGCGCTGGCTGTTGGTGCATGACGTCACGCGGAAGCGTAACACCCGATGACTGTTTCATGGGGTCCTACTAAAGCGCGTCAACAAGCGTCAACAAGCGTCAACAAGTTTTAGTAGTCGTTAAGTGCACGTCAACAAATTTTGTATAGGCCTTTGAACAATAAAATCACCTGTATATGGTAGAAAAAGCAATAATGAACAACTTCTGCATATCAATTAAAGTTAAAATTACTTAAAAAGTGGTTTTCCAGCGCGAAATCTACGACGGGTTTTTCGGTTTAGTATTGGCCGCCATCTTGTTTGAGATCTACATACTACGCATGCGTGGAGTGTACCATTCACGCATGGGGGTTTCTTTATACATTACGCTTAGGAATTGGGAAAACTATTTTTTTCCAATTATAAATTATGCAAAACTTGGTCACAGTACTTGGCTAATTATTTGAAAAATATGCCGACTGACACTGTTCACAATGTCTGCCCAAAAGTCCCAATGCAAAAACCAAACGAGGTTTCGCTAAGCGTAACGTATGAAGAAACCCCTATGCGTGAATGGTACACTCCACGCATGCGTAGTATGTAGATCTCAAACAAGATGGCGGCCAATACTAAACCGAAAAACCCGTCGTAGATTTCGCGCTGGAAAACCACTTTTTAAGTAATTTTAACTTTAATTGATATGCAGAAGATTTTCATTATTACTTTTTCTACCATATAAAGCTGTTTTTATTGTTCAAAAGCTTATTCAAAATTTGTTGACGCGCACTTAACGATTACTAAAACTTGTTGACGCTTGTTGACGCTTGTTGACGCGCTTTAGTAGGACCGGTTTCATGCACTATCGGTTGCGGTTCCAGTACCGGAGCTGTGATGCGAGTGGTAAACTTCATATTAGTGCATGAAACAGTCATAAAATTTCTCTTAGGGTGTTTCAATACTTGAGAAAGTTTGAAATCATTTGAAAGTACTTTGACAAAAATATGAGCAAAAATGTATTAATTCTGACGTAACATTGACACCGTGTCAATGTTACATCCAAATATTCTTTTTTTGCCATTGTTTACACGTATGTAAAATATTACCCAAACTGACATTGCATATTTACAAATGGACATCTAAGCACCAAGAAAAGCTTTTGTTTTGGTATAGTCAGGGTTAAAATATAGCAGAAACAATAGGGGGAGCCTACCTCAAGTGTGGATGTAACGGTGTAAAAATCACTCAATGGAAGTGTAACATTTGGGTTTTACACCGTGTCAATGTTACGTCCACACAACTAAGCTATCATTTCTGCTCCATTTGATACCTGACTACCGTTACAAAAGCTTTTCTTATTGTGTTACATCTATAGTAAGAAGTACACAAAGTAAATTTGGGTGATGTTTCACAGAAATTTTTTAAAAAGGTACAAATGTCATATTTGGACGTAACACTGACACGGTGTCAATGTTATGTCCAAAATGACATTTTTTGCTCATATTTTTGGCAAAATACATTGAAATGATTTCAAACTTTCTGCAGTAGTGAAACACCCAACAACAAATATTATGTAGAGCAACTGCTAGCGAGGCATTCATGCTTTTCTTAATATGGTCATATGTCACACATTGTACCTCAACGCGGTGGAATGACCCATATAGCACTTTTGGCCATGCACATAAAGATATCAAAAATAGAAAGTACCATGTGACTCGCTCTCTGCCAATCAAGACACAGAATCTGTGGATGTGTTATAGATATAACTATATTGACCTGGATCCTTCTAACATTAGGATTGAAAAGTCAAATGGGACTTTGCCGAATATAATCCTACCAAATATCTGATATTCAATCATCCATCAAATACCGAAATAGCATTTTCAGTATAGTAGAAATATGAATATTAAAAAAAAATTGAGCGGTCTTGAGAAGATGACGAAAATATTCACACAAGTTGCGTGGTCTTATTATTTGTCAGATGCCACATTTTTTTGGTGGACAGCCACTTTACAATCATGGCTTGAGAGCTTGAATGAGAAAATTAGTCCCAAACTCCTAATTAGCATCTTTAAAATCTGTCAGATCAGATATCAGCTATAGTCAGCTACCTCGAGAAAATACATACATAATGTTGTTAATATGTTATGTAGGTCAGTGTCAATATTCAAATATTCGATTAGATCCTAGTTAATTGACTGTACATGTATTAAATAATGCACAGCACTATAACATTGGCCCCTTCAACTTTTGTTAAAACAGTTAGTCATGTTTGATAAAGGTTTTTTTTTGGAGAGGGAGATGTATATCAGGTCATGAAAACATCTAATGATCTGCAAGTTTTCATCTGTTATGTATAACGATTCTCCAGACTTATAACCATGCAGCTTGCGAGAAAAAGGCAGTCCGAACTAGATAAGAAAACGGAGGGGAAAAACCCCTGATTATTCACACATTTTCTTTATTTTCTGGTCAGGGCTTCTGAGGAGCAGCGATGGTTGGAATGGAAAGCTTCGGTCCACATCCAAGCGTGGTTCCGGGCCGTCAGGGTGCGGTCCTACCTCAAACACCTGCACAGGTGCGCCACGGTGGTGCAGAAACAGTGGCGGGGCTACCTGGGCAGGGCCTTCGTACGGATACTCATCAGGAACCAGGTGCTTATCATGCGACAGAACTTCTACAATGCCATGGCCACAATTGTAAGTTATTCTTTGTTTTTTTTAGCTGAGATGTTAAATTTTGTAATAAGGTTGCTGGTTTCCTACACTGTTAAAGGTAATATACAACATTTGCAAACAATAAAAAATGAAACCGCCAAATTGTGATACCTCACTGGACTGTAAGTAATTAATAGTCTCAAGCATCCTGTGAAATCATTGTGGCTGGTGTGCTGTCATTTTCAAGAAAAGTTGTAACATTTTCCAATGTCGGTTCAGCTGAACCATCATTGGGAAAAAATTGGCTTTGTAAAATACTGACCTAAATTGTTCAAATTTGGTTAGGCCGCATTTTGTTTGCAATCGGTTACATATCTGTGAACGGGCGCCAGCAAGTTTGGATCCCTGACCTGACAAGTCTATAAGTATAAATTGTTCCGTTTTGTCTGAAGCATTGGGTCAGTGAACAAGACTATAAGAACAGCATTTTGTTCATGTTTTTTTTCTCAGTGAATCAGTGTAACAGTATTTGCTATAAAATACTAATCCCCAAATTCGTCCATTTCTGAAACTTACAGCAAAAGCAAATGTTGTATATTGGTACCTTTAAAGCAAGAAGTTTGACACTAGTTTAGGCATTTTAGGACACTATTACTACCCTGCGACTCGAGGAGTCATTCAGTCAGTAAGTGATTGAGTCAGTTAGAGGACAAAAATAATGTTCTTTCAGGTCCAATAAAAGCTTCACAACTAACAAATGATTGTCTTGTCATATTATGCAACATTCCAGATTCCTGCCCACTGTAGGTCTACTTCAGTTGGCAATTGTATAATTGCAAATTTGTCAACATAAATTTTTCTTTAATGTTGCCTGCAGATTCCAACCTTTCTTGAGTCAAGCTTCTCTGGTCCAAATAATCGATATTATTTTGGCAAATTATTGTGACAATTGCAGATCCAGAAAATGTGGCGGGGCTTTTACACAAGGAAGTACATCTTCAATTACTACAGTCGGAAGAGGTACCTTGAAGGGTTGCTTGTGAAAAACCAGATTGTAAGGTGAGAAATGACAGAACAAAAAGGGAAACCTGAGGCTAAGGTGCCCCCCCCCCAAAGTCTCCAGTTTCTGGTATGCGCGCGTCGCCGTAGCCATGCGCGTCTGCAAAATAAAGAAGTTTTTTTTCAATGTAAGATGATGTCTCAAAACCGCCAAACTCACTGGTTTGACTGGAATCCTGCTGCTGCAGAATTTTAACGTGTTTTTAGATGGGGTTCAATCGAGTATAAGCTTTATGTGGCCTCTCTTGGCTCCCATATATTTTGCACTAAATTTAGTCGGGCACCATATGCAGCCTTCAGCCGACATTTGAAGAAAAAGAAAAAAGTGGTTGCACCACTTCTGGGGCAAGCTCCATACCAGAAACCGAAGACTTTTGTTTTTTGGCCTAAGGCTTTGACTTTGGCTTCAGCTTCGGCTTCGGCTTAGACTTTTGGTCATTGAAACACTGAATTGAATATTCATAGCCATTGACAAAAATGCCTGTTTTTTCAGACACATCATAATAAAGCTACATCAACATACATTTACGTTTACTTTGTTTACCCCTTTTATTTCAGGCAAGAACTTGAGGAATACAGTGAACAGAAAAACCACGAGAGGGCCATAGAATGGGAACAGAAGATGCAGCAGATGATAATAGACGACGCACGCAAACACCATTACCTTCTCAGCACACAAGTGGTAAGTCAACCTTTGTTGGTTATATGTTTGATTTGGTGAGTCTGGGGCAGAGTCCTCGGCAGTCACAGCAAAAACGATTTGTATTTTAGTTCTTGTGCAAGGGCACTTTAGTTGGAAGCCTGGAGAAATGCACAGAGAGAACTCAACGATGAAATGCCAGTTTCAGAAATGGATGGAAAACCTTGGAATTACAGTCCAGGGAAACCCCACAGAATTTATGCAGGTACTGAAAACCCAATCCACGTGTTGACATGGATGGGATTCCCAAACCTGGGTCACTGAGGTTGATGATGTGAAAGCACTATGTTATCAAGTATAGTTGGGTCAAGTTGATTCCAAAATTGGGGGTAAAAGCCTCAAGATTGGACCTGAGCAGCCCTGGCTCTCTGGTCCAGAAAGAGCCCAGAACTGACTGATTCACAATGGGCTTTGTATGTCTAGTTTCACCAAGGCCAAGTGCTAGTCCAAGACCATCATAACATTGAACGGGTACTTCGGAAGCTAGAATTACATGTATTTTGTAGACTTGACTCAAGTCAATCCAGAATTTTCCTTTTTTGGAAGTCTCCAACCCTCTAAAAAAAAAGAGGTTTTTGTTCTGGGCTCAAACAGATCACTTTGCGAACAAACTGGCTCCTGGTCCATACATTATCGATGCTGATTGTGGGGCAGGAACCAGCCTACACCGCAAGAACGGAATTATTTTTTGGCAGCCAATAATTTGAAATTGTAATTTAAATATTCAAAAATGATTAAAACATGGGCCAATTGTTTTTTTGGTCCATGTCTCATTCTAAAGTGAATAACTATTGTATGGCTAGACTAAATTGCAAACGAGAAAAGAAACATTAACCCTTTAAAGCCAGGTAATGGCTATAGACCCAGCTCGATCAATGCCAATAAGCCGGGGGATTGCATAGCTGCATTCATTTATAAACAACTGCCGGATACCTGCATGTACATATTCCACTCAAAGTGCAGCTGTCCGTGGGGTTAAACATTCAGTCATCATATTTTATGCCATGATATAAACATATTTCATCCTGGTATCTCCAACTGACAAATAGGTCCCCGGCATCTACAACTCTCCCTTCCAACCTTACCCGGATGAGATGGAGATGATACTACGGAGTGTCCAGCCCCGCCCGCCACCAGGACCCAAGCCAAAGAGAGACAATAGATCAGGGATCGTCATCCCGCCCAGCCCCCCTCTACCACTCACTGAGCCCCTCCCACCCATCGGGGAAAGTAAAGTAAGTGTAGCCATCTGAGTTGTATTAGAGTCAGTTACAAGTGAATCGCGAGCGAATCACAGGTCGATGAGAATTCAATTACAAGTCAATCACAAGTCATGTTGCAAATAACTGGAAATGCCCTTTTCTTATTCCCTGTGAATAGCTTGTGACTCGAATTGAGACTGGATGAACTGTGATTTTATCACTTGTGACTTATCTTTTGATTTGACTCACCTGTAATGTCTTGGCTCCAATTCTGCACCTAGCAGCGAACAGGATGCGATTTTTTTTTCCATACCACATGCTCACTACTATATATAGAATTATGCTGGAGTGCTCTATATATGCAAAAGTATAATGTTTAAAACTACCACATCGATCGAGTCACTGCTGTAGTGTCATAGATACTACATTGGATTACAAATCCGATGATGTGAGTTCGATTCCCATTGGATGCTTTTTTTTAATTTCTTCTTCTTTACTTTTTTTTTTCTCTTAAAAAGGTTTGTTAGTCATTTGGAACATTTTACTTTTACCAATATGTGGTTCGGAGGATTTTTTTTTCAAGGGAAAATAATGTCAGAGAACCTGACTTGCAACTCAACGTACTTCGAAATACGCCCATGCGTAAGGAAAAAAATATCAAGAACAGGATGGTGTCGTTCTTATATTTTGTACACAAACAAAGAGTTGTGCACAACATTGTATTGTCAAAGTGAACGTGTGTTTCGCCAGATCAAACAGACCAAACCAGTTTGCATTTATCTGAGGAACAGTATTTTCCAAGACACATTTTTGTTTAGTTGTCACATAAGATTTATATCAGGTCTCTCTTCTGTATGAGTTTCCAAAAAAAACAACCCACATCAAATTGATTCAATATTAGGGATGTCCTCATTCGTATATCAGTTCCTTACTTACATTGGCTGGTTCGTGGGCAGGATTTTTTTAGAGTAAGTTTTCTGATAACAGAGTTGTACAGGGTGAGTCAATAAAAGCGAAACCCAAATGTCGGGACTATTGTTTGATGAAAGGATATGAAAGCCCCGTTCATAAGCTTTCTTTTAGTACAAGAATCATTCAAATCACCTGCGTACTTTTCACGTTACGGAATTTTAAACACAACCACTGTTTTAAAGGTCTGTCCACAGATCACACAAAAGGTGTGCGTTCTTCCAGCAAACCGAAAACAATTCACACACATCCCTATGTGATTTGTTCCTTTTGCTGAAAGAACACTTTTGCTGAAAGAACTTTAAAACGGTGGTTGTGTTTAAAAGTCCTTAACTTGAAAAGTACATGAATGATTTGAATGATTCTTGTGCTAAAAGAAAGCTCATGAATTGACCTTTCATATCCTAGATTTTGAAAGTGCTACATGCAGAACATCACTAAAACAATGGTCCCGACATTTGGGTTTCATTTTTTTTAATCACCCTGTAGTACTCATACTTGATACTCGAACTCAGTACAACTCAAGTACTTTTTAAGAATACTTGTACTCACTCGCGTACTCAAATATCAAAATACTTGGACTGGAATTCACAGTACTTGTACTTGAGAAGCAAAGTACTTGGACTTGACTATTCCATATCGTACTCCATCATCAAAGTACTTGTACTCGATGATAAGGACTCGGGGGGGGGGGGGGGGGGGAATCGAGTAATTTAGTTTTGAATGAAAATAATAATTGCCCTGCTTGGAGACGCACACCATTTTGGTGGTGTATGTTTTGCTCATTACTGGAGATTATAATTGTTTTCACTTGAGTACTCCATAAAGTTCTCGTACTCGGAGGTCCAAGTACTTGTACTTGTACTGGAAGGTCCCAGTACTTGGACTCGGGTACCTGTACTCGTTCTCAAGGGTCAAGGAACTTGGATGCGAGTTGTACTTGATAGCTTATTACTCGCCAGTACTTTGTACTTGCAAAGCACTCTACTACAACACTCGGTCTTACACAGTTGTTCGATTCCGATCCAGTTGCAGGGGCCATTTAGAACACCAGAAGATGTCGTCAAGCAGCGCTACAAGCCACTACAGCCAACCCTGAGGGTAGCCACCTCCTATACATCGGTAGAGGAAGCACGAGAAGCCATGAAAGCTAAAGAGTGGGTCATGAGGGTTAACGACAATATGTAAGTATAGCCATTGCTATTTTAGCGGGACACATTTGCAAAAGCAGTTTTGGAGAGGCAACTATTGTTGACATTTTAAATTGCGTTTCCCGTGCTCTTCAACAAATTCATTTTTTTTTTCTCTATTAATGAATTTTCAACTTGCATGTGTAATTCCAACCAAAAAACTTCCAAAAAACGTCCACAACCGTCTAAAGAAAGCTTTTTGGACGCTTTGTGAGCTGATTGGCTTCTGGTTCTTACATTATCAATACTGATTGTGGGAACCAGCCTAGCCCGCGGGAATGGAATTATTGTCTGGCTGCCAATAATTTTAATTTGTAATAACCGAGTACAGTGAAATCTGGATAAGTCAAAAGCTGTTAACACAAAATCCGTTTTAACTCAAAAGTAAAAACTTATTCCCGTCAATTGTTGTTGAATAGAAAATTCATTGGATAACTCAAAACTCTGCTTAACTCAAAATTGGAGCCTATTCCCCTGAGGTTTGGCTTATCAAGATTCCACTGTACCAAAGTTTTTCAAAAGTATGTTTTACTTTATATATTGTGATTTTTTTAAATTTTCAATACAGATTTGAACCTTTTACAAGACGAGATAGAGCCTATGATCCCCTTCTTCATACCACTTCCAAGTATGGCCACCTACCGTATGGGACTCGATTCTATCGTGAGACAGAGGAGTCCAAGAATATTACAGCAGTGGTAAGTCAGACAAAAAGAAATCCTACTCTGTCACTGTGATTGTTGAAGGGGCACCAGGATTCCCAGTCACGCTGAAAATCAGGGAAAACCTTGAAAAGGTGTTTTCATTTTTCCAGTCAACTGGAAAAATGAAAACACCTTTTGGGTATTTTTCCCAATTTTTCCTGAGTCTTCCGTGACTGCAGTCACGGAAGACTCCGGGAAATTGGGAAAAATACCAAAAAAATCGGGGAAAACTCTGGGAATTTGACAGTGGCCCAGAAGGGCAAGGTTTTTGCTAGTTTGGCGTATGTGCATCTCTGTTGCATATGAGGAAAGGATGGCTATAAGCGGAGAAGGGAGGCCATCGCTTGTCAACAAATTGCCTGTGTATTATCAGTATCTTAGATGCTTTGCTGCAACTGCCTCTTCACATACCCAGCAATCTTGTTACAGTGAAAATATTTCTTGTGGAATTTTGGAAATATCTTATGGATTTATGAGGAAAAACTCGGGGAATTCTGTTTTTGTAATGGGCTGGGAACCCAGGACACAGTACGTACATGTACATCCCTGTATGGTGGGATCCAAAAGTGGGTTAAAAATTATATTTTTTTCTGAAAGGGGAAACTTTGTATGGACCCCTGCTGCCTCTGCCACTGTGCCTAGGGCCTCGTAAGTAAGCAGGATGCTTCCCAATGTCAATATATTGATAGCTCGTTCAAGTTATTCACCATTGAATTTACGTTTTCCTTTAAAAGTGTGTATACCGAGAAATAAATTATTTTTGTCTAGTTCTTGTGGAGATGATGTGGATTTGTGGAGTGCCGTGGTCCAGTGGTTAGGGGGTTCAGCTTAGGTGCTGTGGAACGTGGGTTCGAACCCGGACAAGGAACATTGTGCTTGTGTTCTTGGGCAAGACATTTTACTACAATTGCCTCTCTCCACCCAGGAGTACAAATGGGTACCTGTGAAGGTAGAGACCAAAATGCACTGATCTCGAGCTGCTGCAAAAACTGGTCTCATGACATGATGAACAGGGGTAATAATTCCGAAGCCTTGAGACCTTTGGTATGAAGTGCTATATCTAAGCAGCACATTATTATTCTTATAACAAACTTTTTGATTTTCCACTTTCCCCCACAGAGGTTCCAGCCTGTGGTTTCCCCGATTCCTGTCTTTGAGAAACTCAACGACACTTATTCCAAGGGGACCGAGACAGTTCCATGAGAAGACACCAGATCTAGAAGAGTCTCCAAGCTAAAAATGTTCCTTTGAGCCTCCTTTTCTGTGGTGTGTCTGTTGAATTGTATTGTTAGATTTTTAAAAAAATTATCGGAGAAAGGTTACCAAGATTTTCATGGTTAATGTCCACAACCAGTAATGACTTGACCCAACTTTTTTCTAGAAGAGAATTGTTCTTGAAAATTCACAAAACTTATGCAAAATTATCTGTAAATGAACTGAAATTTCTAAAAATAGTCCTGCAATGTGACTAATACTGTTGAACATCAGGTCTTTAAAGGCATACAGGATCATTTGCATTTATCCCAAAAGTAACCGAATAATTTTTTTATCAAAAAGCTTTGCTTGGATTAAAGATCGTACTGGGTACTAAACATCCCTTGAAATTATTCCGTCTGGCTTGCTGTCATTTAGAGGAAATCAAGAAATGTAGGTGATTTCCAACAATTCAGTCAATTGACTGATTTTTGGAAATAAAGAGTGCTATAAAGTTAGAGGAAATCAAATCGTGTTTCATGATCCAAAGGTTGTGCATGGTTTTGCACTGTTTTCCTGAAAAGTGTAATACCCACCGAGTTGAAACTTTAACAGGTTAGGTTTTGAACATTCGTCTTTGGATTTTGAGTGGTGCTATTATTGGAAACAAACAGAATGCATGAAAAGCAAATGATCCTATATGCCATTAAAAAAAAAAATAAGTCCATGTTTCTAAAAGCTTATCACGTATAAAAAATAAAGTCTTGAACCAAGCATGGCCCATTTCCAGACATACCACAGAAAAAGGCACTAATTTCATTTTGTAAGTTTAGTTATTGCAAATATCGAGGTTCATAATGTGATGTTGTGCTTCTACTGTAACCGTCCATATAAGACGGAGTTGTATAAACCAAGTAAAAAAATAAATTGTTAGTCATATGACATGTTCAGTCTGAAGTTGAATGACAAGCTATTCAAATGAAGTTTGACAAAGGTATTCCTTTGTCATTGTTCAGCGTCTGTTTCTCGTAAGTGATTTTGAGTGGATAACAACCTGGCTATAAGATTTCTAAAATTAGACAAACAAGGCTTGCTTCACAGCCAAAAAAGTTGTGCTAACTTTAAAACCCTAATCATGCTCAATTCAACAATATTCTGCATAATCAGAAAATTGTGCTAACCGTAAGCACAATTTCATGACATGGATGTGCTTAACGGTTCCGCGTGCATGAAGAATTTCTATTTTCACGTCACTAAGTTGAGTACATTTTTCCTCTTGAGGTAAGCGTACCTTTTGCTGTGCTTACGCTTACGGTCTCCATGAAATAGACAGAGGCTCTGCATCAGACAATCGTGTGCTTAGCAGCGCCATAAAATTGGGCCCAGGTCTCAGAAGAAGTCACAAATATTGAACATAGGTTGTTTCATTTTATACTTTTGTTAGCCTCTCCTCTTATCAGACGGGCATATTTTCCATATTCCTGCATGGGACTGTAAATATATAAATATTTTTATGAACTGCAAGAATTTCTTTTTTTTTTTTTTTTGCAGTCCGTCCAATATTTTATTTTCAATTTATTTCTTGATAACTAACAAGGCTTAATTCACGTTGGAAAAAAAGGAAACTTGCTGACTCAGTTTTTATAATCAGTTGATACATTTATTTAATTGGTGCATTATTGACATATGGCAACCCATGGCTTATTCTTCTACATTTTAAGGAAATAATATTGCTGAAACGTAAATAAAAGAATAACATAGTTAAGGTTAAAGGCTAATCCCAGCATTTGATAAATGAAAAAAACGTGTGAGGTTTGTGTAGGCATTAAATGGAATAGTGTTGTTATGCATTAAAATCACTTGTATATATTTTGTATAGTTAAAAAACAGTTGCGTTATTGTAATATCTGACTTGTCTTTGTAAATATATATCTTGCTTTGATGCTTGATTAAAATATTTGCTTTCAAACTCGACAAAATGTGTTGTTGTGGTTCTATCTTTGATGCTCATCCAATATCATCCTTTTTACTGCATCAGTCAAATTGACCAGGCCTCTAATCCCATTAGTGTATAAAAAGAAATAGAAAAGCATCACTTTACCTTTTTTTCAGTGGAAAACCATCTACTGCAATTTCTATAAATTATATTTAAGAACATAGTTTTGTTCCATTATCCAAATTACAACATCAAAACAAGTATGTCAAATCAACACGGAATGTTGTGAACACTAAAAACTACAAAAGTCATTTTATATCAGATATAAGATATATATATATACATGTATATTGTATATTTCTTTAAGGTCAAGTTTAATTGGTAGGAAAAAAGTTCACATTCATTATGCACATGATGTACAAAGATAGATCTATGTATGTCAGCAAATAGAGGAAGCATTAAACAAAATTTCTTTTAAATACAGAGCAAAAATATGAGTTGTGAAAACAATCCTATTATTCCATTTAAATATGTACAAGTTACATGAAACTGTATTCTTATACATGTACAGTGAAATCTGGATAAGTCAAACTCTGAAAACTCAAAACAACCGTTAAGTCAAACAAAGACTGTATCTCTTCAGTAGTATAACAATGATGTACATCCCTGCTTAACTCAAAATTTGAAGTCAAATTTTGAACCTGTTCCCTTAAGGTTTGACTTATCGAGATTTCACTGTAACTTCAAATCTCGAAAAAAGAACCAGCTATTTCAAAATGTCTGTGACGTAAATAGTAAAAACTCACTAACTTATGCACAAACTATCTAGGATGAACAAGTCTGTACTTCATGTTCCATTTTAATGCTACTGTCTTGGTATCAAACACCGACAAGTCTAGTCACAGACTCCTGTCTTCATCCCTAAGCAATCTGAAAAACTGGTTGATATTTTTGTGGTCAGGTTTTTTTCACACACAAAACCCAATTTATTGCAGTTTTAATACTGGATAAGCCTCGTAACAAACAATACTTCTGAAGAAAAAAAATGAACATTGCAGACATTGGAGTTTCTACACTTTAAAGTGGGCCTATAGAAGTTGCGTATTGTCACAAAAGCTGCAAAGTTAAAACAACTTGTGTGTTTTATTGCAAATATTACACATGATTCTGCAAAACAATTTTGATGACTTTTTTCATCTTAAAGGTAATGTTCATCATTGGCTTTTGCTGTAATTTTCAGAAATGAACTATTTGAGGTGTTAGCATTTTAGATGAAATATTGTTAAACTGACATGTTTGAAGTTTTGTGTTTGAAAATGCTGGAAAAACCAAGAAAAACAAAAAAATTCAAATAGTCTGGTTCCCTGACTCCACTAAAGATGAAATGGATCAATTTACAGATGTCGGTAAATTGTAAGGTAAGGAAACCAGTCTAGCTGGCCTGCCTGCATCCATTCATGAACATGTAACCAAAAGCAAACAAATGTTGGACTGGAAAAAAGGTACATTTGGAGCAGTAGTTGAAAAATAGTTAGGTTTTTCCAACGGTGGTCGGCCGACCACTGTTGGACATTTACACAAAAATACCACTTTTCTTAAAAATGACTTCACACCAGGTGCCATAATTTTACAGGATGCTTTAGACTGTCATTTACCAACATCCTAGTAAGGTATTTCGTACAAACTTGGTAGTTTTGTTTTTCGATGTTTGCAAATGTTGTATATTCCCTTTAAAAGAAAAGTTAAATTACACATAAAGAAATCACTAACCTTAAAAAAATGGCTTTTATACAGTTGAAAAAGTACTCCAACAGCAAACTTTCTGAAAATTATTTCTTACTTTCATCTGTGACATTCTAAAGAGTCCCAAGAAATATTTTAACTACTGTCCTTGCCTGTTTATGATACGTTTCAAATATGTGTATTACATTTAGAAAAAAATGGAAAAACTTTACACAATATTTCATTCATTTCAGTATATAACTATGGTGTGCTAAATACAAAAGTAAACAAAAATATAAACAAAATGAAAAGTGTGAAGAAAGAACATGTAATCAAAAAAATTACTGTACTAATCAATACTGTTAACATTAACGTTTACAAGTAGATACTTGTCTTCAGTCTTCTTTTTTGCTCATATGCACAGCCATACAAAATTTTATTAAAATCAAACCTCTAAATTAATAAGGTCCGAGCCTGAAATACGATTTCAGCTTTGTCATGTCAGCCTCAAAGTATAGGCCTACCTGCACCCGTTTTAACAGTAACAAGTATCAAACTTTGCCATGTATTTGCCATATGTAACCCATCGCCACACAAATGAGCTTAAAGTTGGATTTTACAGGAATTGAGGTGATATTTAGTCTATAGAGCTGGTGAATTGTACGGTTGGCTCCCGCTAGTGCGAAATTGGATAGGACAAAATTCTGGTTATAACAAACATCTTTGGTCCTGGCAAACTTGTGCACGTTTCTATGGAGGAAAATTTGCTTAAGATGAGCTTGGACAGTACACAACTTCTGTTATGAAGAAAGGTTTTGGCGACCCAGTTGCGTGAAAAAGCACTGTTAGCAACTTATTTACAACAAACTTTTTTTATGTCTAAAAGCTTAGCAAACCTAGTCTGAGTATCAACCATTGTCCAATGGAGCCCTCTGTGTCTCCAGTCCAATGTCTGATATACTAAGCATGCACATTTATGCGACCCAACGCGCCAGCTAATCTGAATCAACTTAACTAAAACTGTGACGTCATTTCATGCCGAAATCTGAACTAAGATGCTGATTGGTCAATGTGGATGAAATGTTTTTGTAATACAACAACGGCCATAGAGAGATAATAAAACCTAGACATGACATTGGCTCACAAATCTCTTAGAAAAATGCTACGCATGACGCGCCAGAGGGCATTTCGCAATATACACACGTTATTTAAAATATGTGATGATCACTCAAAGCCACACGACATTGGCGCGTCAGATAATATACATGTATATCGTTACATATCAGGCCCTATGACGCAGCCTATTTGGGCTTATACGTAAAATCATAAAAGATCATCATCATCATGGGTGTTGTCACTCGCAGACCTTTTACGTCCATTGTGATTCCTGGCGGCGATGCTGTGTCTGTGTTTTATTTATAGATGTCAATGACAACGGGTAACTGAAGCCCCTATATACATGTAGAGGGCGCCCGCTGAATGGTCAGAATCTCGAGGTCATGCAACTATGCAAGATGCACGTTACATGGAGTTGAATAATTCATCGCTGAATCTGCTCGCATATCGTTGACCCTTGCTGCACAATTTATTACACGTACATAGTTCAGACCTAATTTAAGAAAGCAGCATAAGTCATCAATAGTTATCTCTCAAGTCAAGTTCACCTTGAAGACTCAGAAACGATTAGGACGGAAGTTATTTTATTGTCGTACAATTAAGTCCGTCATTACTTTCTTTTGCAGGGCCGTAGGAAGCAGTATGGCAGGTACGGCCGTTCTAATCTTGCCTTTTTTTCTTTTTTTCTTTTGGCAACATGTAATTTAGCCGAGTTCAAAATTAATTTTGTGAGGATACCAGATGAAGAAAAAAAAGTGAAATGAAAAATAATCAATGGATTTCCATCAAATATTTTTGGCACCAGTCCTGTACGTCAAGTCATACATATATCATCAATAAAGTTTTTATGTAAACAGGGCCTTCCATTACATGGGGACGCCACTGAATGAGATGGTAACTTCAAGCAATTGCTCAGCATGAAAGCCAAGGAAGACCAACACTTGAAATGGCTGGAGAAGAAGACAAGTCTATACTAGCCCATCAATGCAAAATGAAATTATCAAGATAATGGGGCTGAAAGTTCTTCGTGAGATTGCCAAAGATCTTCAGGGATGCCCTTTCCTCACAGTGATGATTGATGATAACTACTGACATCACCAACAAATAACAAGTCACGCTCGTCATCCGCTGGGTCACAGAAGACTTGCAGGTGCATGAAGAGTTTGTAGAGTTGTATTACCGGTAAGTCCCTTCAATTGATGCAGCAATAAGGTTTATTGCAAATAGCTTTTCACCAACAGAGGGCGCCCTCTTGCAGAGCATCATGGGATGCAAAACGGAGCATTGCCATTTTGCAGTCCTGGATGTTGAAGCGCGAAATCAATAGGAAATGATGGCTGCGATCAGACACGACAAATTTCTTTCATCAACAGTTGAAGAATTGCAGAA